CCTATATAGGATGTAGGTTGGTATAATTTCCTTCTTTCAACTTGAATTCATTGTTTCAACATAGTGTATTAAAGTGGGCCAGATTACCAAATCTTAAACAATCAGTTTATTCTAAGTCATTAGGTAATATAATTTAAAGGTAAAATAATTATATTATGCATATGGTCTAGCAATAAGAGATGTGTTTAACAGTAAATAGCCTCAGTGTGGGCAGTAGTGCTATATGAGCCTATATAGGATGTAGGTTGGTATAATTTCCTTCTTTCAACTTGAATTCATTGTTTCAACATAGTGTATTAAAGTGGGCCAGATTACCAAATCTTAAACAATCAGTTTATTCTAAGTCATTAGGTAATATAATTTAAAGGTAAAATAATTATATTATGCATATGGTCTAGCAATAAGAGATGTGTTTAACAGTAAATAGCATAATTACTATTTCATATGTGTTTGCAAGGACTTTTTCCCTACATACCTGGCATGTAGTATGCTATTGTTGGCCATTTTTTAAAAGACGCTTCAGTGATTTTGTTATGCCTCTTTTTAGCCATATAATATGACTACACATGATTTCTCCAGTGATACACATTCTCTGCTCATGAACTGAGGATTTGCAATAGGTGCAAAAGAACCTGGCTCCACGATAGCTGTTCTTACATGCTATAGTTCAATAAGTGACAAAGGAATTTGACTTCTGCTGTTTCTTTAGCAGAGGAGGGAAAGTGCAGGGAGAAGAAATATATTCAACTCTTTAAATGCTATATCTTATTTCCTCCTATCATGGTAGTAAAGGAAGAGGAGATAGTCATAAGAACACTGAGAAATTTCTCACATCCGTGAATCACAATAGGTAGGGAGATTAGAGTACTTTAAAAAAAAGAGTTGACAGTAACCTTCATTTCAAATACAGAGTTATAATTCCAAAGCACAGGCGTATCGTGTCAGAATCCTCCAGGACTCCTCTAGTTTGTCACAGGCAGAAGTCCTGGCTCATTTTTTGTGCTTGCCCTGTTCCTAGCCTACTTCCTAACTTTAAAAATGTTTGTTGAGGGCTTCCCTGGTGGCGCAGTGGTTGAGAGTCCGCCTGCCGATGCAGGGGACACGGGTTCGTGCCCCGGTCCGGGAAGATCCCACGTGCTGCGGAGCGGCTGGGCCCCGTGAGCCATGGCCGCTGAGCCTGCGCGTCCGGAGCCTGTGCTCCGCAACGGGAGAGGCCACAGCAGTGAGAGGCCCGCGTAAAGCAAAAAAAAAAAAAAAAAAAAAAAATGTTGAATGAATGGATGGGCAAGTGGACAGTGGTGGGGAGGGGAGATTTCTTCTGAGCCCAAATGGGAATCATTGATGATGCTAATCCAAAAAGTCATGCATGTGGTGAAACAAACATTTGCTACCAGAAACTTTTGCCCTTTATCCCTGTCCAAGGAGGGTCTCATGCTAGCACCATCTGCTGGGGGCTTCTTGAGATGCCCATGCAGATAAGTCTTCTAGATTAGCCTGCCACTTCCTCAAAAGCTGGCGGACCCTATTTCTGATCCAAGTGCTGCAGAATACTTTTGTCTGCTGTTACCTTTTTATGGATGCCATTGAATACTTTATAGTATCGTTGGCGTTTTTAGCAAATCCTATTTTCAATATATCCTTGAAGAAACAGACATAAAGATGATCTGCTTTTAAATTCATGTATGCTTATATCTCATGCTAAGAAAAAACATTCTTCATTGAAATTGAAGCAGTTTATGTAAAATGACTAAGTTACTAAGTATTTGTAAGCGAACTGAGAGGATGAGTTTTATCTAAATGCTCTGCAAAAGCGTAATTCAGGAAAAAGCACAGCCTTCTTATCATAACCAACATATGAACCTGCTATTAATGGATGTAAACTTAACTTATCCTGCAGAAAGTAGGAGTGGATCCTCTGAGCTTAACTTGAAGAAGGCAGGCAATTTTTTCTCTCATTATTACTTGGTCTAAGGCACAGAAATTCAGGCAAAATTTCCTGTCATTACTACTGAGTCTAAGGGTGGAAATAAAGGTAAATACAACAAATACCCTATAACACTTCACCGTCATTTGTAATTTTAAGCATAGACATCATTAGACAATTTTAAAAAGGAAAAGCAGATGGCTTAGTCCTCATATTAAAAAGCACACGATAATGCTAACTGTGGTCTTGAATGAGAAAGGAAAGCTCTGGGCACTCCAAGCAAGGTTCTAACCATAAGTCTGTCCTCAATCTTAATGTTCCTTATTCTTTTTATTGGAGTATAATTGCTTTACAATATTGTGTTAGTTTATACTATACAGCGAGGTGAATCACTACATGTTTTTCTTTTTAATAAGTTTATTTATTTATTTACTTTGGGCTGCGTTGGGTCTTTGTTGCTGTGCGTGGGCTTTCTCTAGTTGCGGCAAGCGGGGGCTACTCTTCGTTGCAGTGCGCGGGCTTCTCATTGCGGGGGCTTCTCTTGTTGCAGAGCATGGGCTGTAGGTGCGCAGGGTTCAGTAGTTGTGGCACGTGGGCTCAGTAGTTGTGGCTCACAGGCTCTAGAGCGCAGGCTCAGTAGTTGTGGTGCATGGGCTTAGTTGCTCCGCGGCACGTGGGATCTTTGCGGACCAGGGCTCAAACCTGTGTCCCCTGCATTGGCAGGCGGACTCTCAACCACTGTGCCACCAGGGAAGCCCTATATGTATTTTTTTAATACCTGGGGCAAAAACCTGGCTAATGAAGTCCAGCAGCTCTGCCCAGAATACAGTCTTATTTCTAAAGTGTTTGGCTAAAGAGGGCCTGGGTTTTTCGCCCTGAAGTTGTCAGATGGTTCTCAGCCCAGGGATGTAAGTTTCACGAGAGCAGGCCTAGTTGAATTTTACCTTTTCTACAGGAAATTAGATGTTACATTGTCTTCAGCACCCCCTTTAGGCTCCAAGCCCTTTAAGAGGCTGTATCCAGGCCCAATATGTGTGTTAGATAAGCTTTGTTCAGGCCTGAGTTATGGTGCTGTTGACTGTGAGTTAAAGGTTAATGGATCAACAATATATATGAAATAAAGTCTCTTTAAAGAGAAATACAGAGAAAACAAAACCTTGTTTTATCAGGAAAAATTGTTTTCAGCTGGGCACACAAGGACAGATTATAATGAGCTGATGTAAACAATTCAAATATTTTTTCATGTTTGGTTGGCTATCAAGCCCAAATAAGCATGTCTTTGAATAACATTTTTTGTAAAGGTTAATCGGTGCAGGACCCTGGAATTTCACCAGTTGTTGCTTCCATAATACATGCTTTACAAAGTCACTGTCCTAAACCACTTTCCTATTGGCAATTTTCTTAGGTATTTATCCTCTGGTATGCAATGTCTATTAGTGATTGCATTATGAAACCCCATCACTGTCTGCTGGAGGCCACATAGGAAATGAGGCACTACCATCCTCCACAAATGGAGTCAGAGAGACCACAGGAGGAGACTCAGAAAGCAGCGACATGGTGGCAGCAAAAAACAAAATGAGACAGAAAGGGCAGTATTTCAGTTTAAAGAAAACTAGAGAGCATCCCAAACAAGATCTATTTCTGTTGAGGGCTGCATTCAGAAGACGACCTGTAGGAGTTAGAGATTTCAAAGATGAAGGAATGCTGGCTGATATAAAGGTCCAGCTCACAATCATGGGAGGAAGTGGGGAAAAAAATTGATCGGAAGTGAAAATAGACATCAAGTAGTCAGAGAACTATGTCTCCCTAAAAATGGCAGGAATTGGGGTGGAGAAAAGAATCCATGAACGAAGCACTACAGTTCTCCCTAAATACAGAAGGGTGTGTGACCCAGAGACTGGAGGTCATATCGAGTGGGCAGAGAGGTGGTGTTATGACCTGATGCCATGGGCTTTGGTACATTTTTATTTAAGAATGGAGCAGTTATTCTTGGAAAAGACTTAGGGTAGATTGCCCTAGGTTCAGAAATTGGCAGGAACCTGGTGAGGTCGGAGAGCAGCTCCCCGCTTCCAGGAAGTCTTTCTCCTCATGGAAGTGTTAGGATGTGCTAGGAGAATACTAAGAAGATAACGAAAATATAGAAGAACTTGTTCACAGTAATCTTGGATTCCACTGGGCACCGTCTAAGGGGCGAAGATAAAGAGCAAGCAGTGTTTGAGGAAGCGTCTGAGGGTGGAAGAGTAGAGCCGTGAAAAGTGGCCAGAGAGGCCTGACTTTTGGCTTGGGTCCCATGATTACCAAGATGAGAAGAAGGGAAGGAATTTACTAGCCAGAAAAGGTTCCTAAATTTGATATGAACGTTATAATGAACATTATCTTAATGCTAGAATTGGAGCAGGTCTCAGGTGTTATCAGGGTCGATGCAGAACTTCCCTCTTCGTGGCACACTAAGTGTCCCATAGCCTGGGGGAAGATTTCTTTCCACTATTGCTTGCTGAGCTGTGGTGCAGGTGTGGGTGAGGTCCTAAGGATGGTTTACAAAGCTCTTTATCATCCATCTGCATCTCCTACTGTTTCTCCCACTGTTTCTCCCTGGCGCGACTAAATGTCCAACAAGGTTTCCCTTTCCACTACCAAGCTCCAGACGGGCACCACGCATGTGGCCTCTTCACCTCTCCCTGGGGAACTCTTCATCAAATTCAGGCATCAGCTAAAAAGTCCACTGCTCTGTGAAGTCTTACTCACCTGCCCCTCTTCTCCCCAAGCTTCACCAAATTCCTCCTTCAAGTCTTCAACCAAACTGAAGGTGACCTGGAGGGGCAGAATTGGACCGAATTAGACAGACATGGTGTGCCCTGAGACCCCTAAAAACATGACTAATGTTCATGTCTAATGTAAGAAGCATTAGCAAAGTTTGACTGTAAATCAACACGTAAACATATGTATCTGGGAGACGAGAGCCAGTGACGTGTTGTAAAACCTCCGGAGCCCAATTGCCTGTGCTCAAATCTTGCGCAAGCAGCTCCACGGCCTTGAGAAACTTACATTACTTCTCTTCCCTTCTCTGTAACATGAGGACCATGATAAAGGTTTTTAACAGAGAAGTGCTATGAGACTTAAATGAGCGAAGTAATATAAAGCTGTTGGAACTGCTCCAGACCCATGGTGAATACGCAGTAAGAGGTAGGTATTATTTCGATCAGTACAATTTTTAAAATTCTCTTGACTTTAATTGAGAACTGATGTTGGATTTGGTTACATAATGTATTTTGTTTTTCCTTTGCTTTGTTCATTATTTGATATTTCTGTTTTTCTCTTTCTTTTGGAAGAATTCAAGCAATAAAAAGTAAATTAAAGAAAATCATTAGGAAACACTTCAATTTTTCCTGAGCTTAATATAGCTCATGCATCTTTTCAAATTATGATTTTTTATGCTTAAGAACACAAACACACACATCATAATCATTTAGAAGTAATTTTAAAGGGTTATTTAGGTGCTTATTTCATATTCTACCCATAATCTTTGAAAGAGATTGCACTATTTTTAAATGGGTAAAGCAAATAAGAATATGTTTAGACAGCATGAAACTCTACTTCTTTTTCTTACCAGTTCTTGCTCTTACAAGTCTGTATGTTTTGTTGTTTTTTTTTTTTTTGCGGTACGCGGGCCTCTCACTGTTGTGGCCTCTCCCATTGCGGAGCACAGGCTCCGGACGCGCAGGCTCAGCGGCCGTGGTTCACGGGCCCAGCCGCTCTGCGGCATGTGGGATCTTCCCGGACCGGGGCACGAACCCGTCTCCCCTGCATCGGCAGGCGGACTCTCAGCCACGGCACCACCAGGGAAGCCCCTGTATGTTCTTTTATACAGGGCTTTCTTCCTCGTACTTCTTATTAGAAACACATGAGAATGTAAATAACGGTAGCTCTTCAGCGGAAACTGCAAAGTGAAATGTATTCTGTGCTTTAGTGGAGTTTACTCCACTCTTAACATAAAATAGCAAGTGGAAGATTTCAAGACTTGAGGTCTATTTATTAACAGGCTGCTTAGGACAGCACTTGTACTGTCCTTTCCTGGAAATCTTACTAACTCAACAGTAGTCAATCCATCATAGCTTCACAAAGGAAGCGATGAAAAGCATGCCTGTCTGCTGCACTTGAAATTGAAATTAGCCTGATTGGATTGCACAAACAGTCCTCTGTAGTCAGCCCTGGTTGACTTCAAAGGATTCATATGCATGGAAGAAAAAAAATGCAAAGCTACAAAGAGTTGAGAATGTGGAGCAAATAATGTCATTTTTTACTTAAGGCTTAAAATAACAAGCAAAACAAAACCAAGAAAACCCAAAACCCTGCTGTTTCCAAACAATTCATTTTAAAACTATATGTGATTAGCCTATTTACTTGTCATTTAATAGCTACAGGTGGCTCTGAACATTACTACTGAAGTTTAAGGCAATTATCTTTATGTACCTTTTGAAATGCATCTTGCTTCGGTAAGTGAAGAAAATGGATGCTATTCCTGAAATCCTGCAATGTTTGTTTACCATTTACAGTGGGCGTGGCAAATATCAGTGTGTGTAGGGCCAGGCAGGAGTTGTGGTAATGGAAGCAGCGTGGATGGAAAATGTGATGAACTTGTTTAAAGGGGAAGCCATGACTCGGCATCAGCGAACTGCTATCTTGCAGGGAGAAGAAACAGCATTGCCTGCTCTAACGACTGTCAAGTTTTTCCACAATTGCAGTTAATTAAGAAATTAAAACACTGTGTGGGCTAACAAATGAGTCATATTTATTATATTTCACAGAAAAATCAGTTGTGAGGGTGTGTGGAGCAAAAGATGAAAAGGTAGCGTTGCTTGAAAATTAGTCACTACAAGAAATCTCTGTTTCTTCTAAGTTGCAGGGGTGAAAACGTTGCCTGAAGGTCAGCGGCAGATACTTCAAACATTCAGATGTCCAAGTTCAGCTTCTTAAGCAGGAGCCTAGGAGGTTGCGTTTCTGGGGCTGAGCCATTACTGCTGTTTTTGAAGCTGCCACCATGAGGGCTCACACGTCAGCTGCTACAGGTGTAGCTAATATTGTCATTACTTCCTGAATTATTCCCATTCCCTCCCTGTAGCCTCCATCATGGGGATCCCTCAGTGCTGCTACCGCTGCTGAAATCAGTGTTGTCACGACTTCCAGATCTGTTGCCACTGCAGCATTAATATCACTGCAGCTACCACTGAGGGCAGCTTTAGAGGAAGCAGGTAGAGAGTAACTTCTCCCCTCATCCACCAGTATGACTTTCTGTCAGGTCCACCCATTGGCAGATGACATAGAAATGATATGCCAATTTCTTTAAGGGTACATGTGCAAAATTCTCCTGAAAATGTTAGAAAACTAGATTGACCATACATATAAAAAATCCATCAGTAATACAGAATAATGGCATTGGTTTTATCTAGTAATGCAGGAATGCTTGAACAATAGAAATTCTTTTCATGTCATTTGTCACATTAACAGATCGAAGGCGGAAAACCATAGGATTGTCTCAGAAGATGTGAGAAAAAAACATGATGATAAAATCCAATACCCATTTATATTACAAGCTTTTTACCAACCTAGGAATAGAAGACAACTTTCTTAACCTGATGTGTTTACCTATAACAAAACCATCAACATTATCATATTTAGTGTTGAAACAATCAATATTTTCTATAAACACTAAGAAAAGGAAAGAGATGTCTGCTGACCGTCCTTATATTTATTATTGTTCTAGAGTTCCTGGCCAGTACAGTCAGACAGGATGAAGAAATGTTATATAATCAGGAACAGAAAAAGACATAAATTGTCATTGTTTGGAGACGTATAAATTACCCATATAAAAACCCAAGAAAATCTGTAGTTAACACTATTCAAATCAACAAGGTTTTTAGGTATAAAGTCAAGGTAAAAAAAAATCACTGAAATTGTTATAAAACAGCAGCAACTAATTAGAAAATATTATTTTTTAAATATACCATTTATATTAAACATTAATGTACCTAAGAATTAATCCAGAGAACACATGTAAGACCTTTCACTTAATTTTATCGAGTGACATAAATACCTATATATACCTAAAAACAAACAAAAAAAAAAACATGAGTATACCATGTTCATGGTTGGGAAGGCATAGAATCATAAAGATGGCAATCTATAAATTTATAGTTATTCCAATAAATACTCCACTAGTATTTTTCTTAGAACTTTATCTTAAAAGTCATATTGAAAAATCAATGGAAAGAACAAGCCAAGATTATGTATAATATTCTATCAAATATTAAAACTTAATAAAGTTATAATTAAAATAGCTTTCTTTGGCTTAACGATACACTAATAAACCAATGGGGAAAACTGCGTAGCATCAAAAAATAGATCAATGGATATACTGAATATTTTGGACTAGTAATGAAAGTTGAGGTATGACAAATCAGTGGAAAAATCATACTATTTAATAAAGGATGCTGGAATAATTGACTATCCACATATAAATAAAATCTGTATTTTGTATCATATTATGAAAACCTACTTGGGTTAAAGACTTAAATAAGAAAAGCACATCTTTAAAATATTTAAAAGTATATATAGAAAATTAATGACTTTGGTGTAAGAAAGGGTTTATTAAACAAATACCAGAATATAGGAAGAGCCAAAGAAAAGACTGATAAATTAGAGTATATGAAAATTTTAAATTCTAGGCATCCTAAATAAAGGTTAAATACCAGCCAGAACACTGAATTAGGTATTTACAAAACATGTAACTGCAGAATATAATATCCACTGTATATCAAGGATCCCTACAAATCAATGAGGTAAGTAATTCAATAGAAAAAAATGGTTAAAGATTCTGACACAATATTCACAAAAGATGATAAAAAGAATAGTGGGTTGTTATGGAAATATAATTTAAAACAGCAAGGTACAATTTAACAACTATAAGGCCGATCGTTGCCAGTTTGAAAATATAAAACCGTGGCAGGAACTCATATACTGATAAGAGGAATTTAAATCTGTCACTTTGGAAAGTAATTTGACAATATATGGTAACATTGAAAAAAAGTATATATATTATATATTGTTATATATATATATATATTTGTGTGTGTGTGTGTATATATATATATATATATATATATATTTACAAACAGAAATTCCACCAGGTAAATCTTCTTCCTAGAGAAATCTCCCTAGAGAAATCCATACACATGTACAAGTACTTGAGTACTGACCAAAATCCACAATGCTAGCCCTATCCCAGGACCCCCTTTTCAAACAAAGCTGTTAGGTGGATGGTTAGAAAAGTGACACTTTGTATGGCCCCTGGGACATGCTGGCATCAGTACAGCACTGTCTGTCATGAATGACCATAACCCACCTTAGAAAGATTGTAAACACTGAGAGGCTGGAATGCTCCCTTCCCTAAAACTGATCACTATAAATACTTGTTAACTAAACAAAGGAATGTCATTTCTATTATCATCATATAAATAAAGGAAAGTTATTTCTATCATCAAGTCACAAATACTTTAACAGAGGGGAGAAAAGACCATTTTTAAAACAATCTCAAATTTTCCTCCAGATTCATCTTGCATTTTGTATGTCTAACTGCTGTATAACACCAGCTTGTTTTATTCACCATTGGTACCATAACCCATTTAGAAATACGAAATGTCTTTATGACCACATGAGTAATTAACCAAATAAAAGGCAATATATGAGCCAATTATTCCAGGGCATAACCTTATCCTTGGAAGGAAATTTGATAATAAAAGGGTTTGAATTACTTTTTTTTTCTATTTTAAGAGTATCAAACTGATTCCCAAATAAAATCTAATGCACTAAGATAATATGGTTCCATAAAAGCAACAGCAGCCTTATACCCTTTCTAATGAAGAAAATTAATTTCCTAGCCTATTTGAAATGTCAGAATTCACACTTAAGATTTCTATGAACTAAAATAAATAAACTAATAAGAAACAGTTAAGGGAAAAAACTGAAATAGTAGTGCTATCAAATGGGTTATATGATAACGATTTCCATTTAATAAAGATTTTTGTATATTTTCCTAAATATAAATTCTTCAAGGAAAACAGAATGTTCTGTTAACACAGGAGAAACACTCAAATGGAATAAATGATTTTCCTTTCCTCTTTTGAATAAAATAAATGTCAATTACTTGGCCCATGACACACCAAGTTAGATTGACAGGAAAAAAAAGAATGTGGTTGAATAGCTTCTCATTTGGTGCACTGTTTATGTATTTGGTCTTGATGATAATGCACTGAAACACAATCAATCACTGATTTTAATTTCCTTTATTGTGTTACAGACAGATGAGAAGGCAAGAGAATTGAATGAAGGAGTTGTTTAGCCAGGCTGTGCACCGTCTCTAGATCTGGATGGCACACATATCCTGCGTTCTTTGCAACCTGACTAAGCATGGCTAAGAACCTCCTCACGCAGTCCATGCAGCTCACAAAGCACTTCCCTAAGAGACGGAGTTCAAAAAAGACTCACCACCTTCCTCTTTTTGTATGTGAGGGGATCATAAAACAAAGAACCTAATTTTCATGAATCACAGAATAAAGACGTCTTATATTCTGTATGTATTGTATGTTCTGAAAACAACAAGATTAGTAATAGTTGCCTTTGACACTACCAGGCACTCAATAATCAAGAGTGTAAAATAGCTAGTGGGAAGCAACCACATAGCACAGGGAGATCAGCTCGGTGCTTTGTGACCACCTAGAGGGGTGGGATAGGGAGGGTGGGATAGGGAGGGTGGGAGGGAGACGCAAGAGGGAGGAGATATGGGGATATATGTATACATATAGCTGATTCACTTTGTTATGAAGCAGAAACTAACACACCATTGTAAAGCAATTATACTCTAATAAAGATGTAAAAAAAAAGTGTATTTACTAATACTTTTCATTATAATATGTTGGCAATTCCTGGTTCTTTCTCCCTCTTTCTCTTTTTAACCGGACAGACATTAATAAGAAGTTATAATATAAAGTGAATGACATTATTGTGTAGAGATGAGGATAATAATTTTTTCTTCATTAAGTTGAATATTTTCTATAGGAGTAGAGTCAAACCTAAAGAAATGACCTATAATTAAAGACTTGAAACGTCTTAAGCTTTACGTCCAACAAGAATACAATTGACCCTTGAACAACATGAGGGTTAGGGACCCCGCGACCCTCCACAGAGTCAAAAATCCGAGTATAACTTATAGTCAGCCGTCCACATCCTGAGGCTCCTCCTATCCCGAGGTTCCTCTATATCCTGGAATCCACATCTGTGGATTCAAACAACACAGGATCTTGTACTGCTGTAGTATTTACTACTGAAAAGTATTGCATATTACTGGATCCATGCAGTTCAAACCCACGTTGTTCACAGGTCAACTGTACAGGATTTTTTAAGCCTTTTATTCAGCACTCAGGTTTACCACCCAAGCAGCATCCGTTCTGAAATCCTTTAGTTTGAGAAATTGTTTCTTCAAGAAACTTCTTCAAAATGCTTGACTTTTCCTGGAAAGCCATACATATAGCCTCTTATCTTGGACATCTGTCAATATACATCATTACAACTGGTTAAAAAAAGTAACATATTTGGTGACTAGATAAGCATCCCTTCTTCCAGACAATCTTCTGTGATGCTCAAGGGGATGCAAACCCTCCCTTCTTGTCTCCCCTCCCCCAAGTTCTCCACCTCTCATGGGGCACCAAATACACAAAAGGCATTTATTTGTTTTTCTGTATCTTGTCCAGTTGACTGTGTGCTCCTTGAGAAACAGAGTCACAACTTCTCCATCCCTGTATCTCCCAGGGCCAAGGACAGTGCCTGGTATCTGAGTTTAATAAAGTGAAAAGGATAGTTGAAGAATCTTTCTATTAAAATAAAATCCACTTCTATGTCCCTTGCCACTGGATATTTCTGAATAGCCGAGAGCACATTTAAAACATTCCATACTGTTCTGTGTTTTGTTTTGTTTTTTCATGTAATGGCCAGTCAGGTGCAGCCACAAGAGGAAACACAGGAGAGATTTGGGAAAACAAGGTTTATTATACTCACAGGTCCCAGCACACGACGCAGGCCCACGTGGGGAAGCCTCGGGTGATGAGCAGGCAGAAAGCAGGAGTGAGGGGAAAGCCTGGGCTAGACCTTTCCGGGGGCTTCCTGGCAAAGGCAAGGCAGGTTAAGGTGAACAGTTAAGGACTGGCTAGTGTGAATACATTCAGCAGGAGCCTAGCTATGGGATGGTCCCGAGTTGCCTGGTACCTGGCCCTGGGATAACTGAGGCAGGGACTTATTGCCTCTTGGGATGCAGGGGCCCACAGAGGAGGGCAGGCTCTGAGTCGAACAAACTTCCTGCAACTCATACTTCAAGGACAAATGGTAGGAAAACAAACAGCCAAGTCCAAGGTCGCAGGTACCTTCTCCACCCTCGCATGGACCCTGAATACCAGGATTAGAATGGGACTGAAACCTATTGCAATCAATAATAATAATCATAAAAGGTGCGTCCCTATAACTCCATGGAACTACTTTCCATAAATTTTCACTTAATGGAATTGAACTGAAAGTGGTTCCAAGGCATTTATACCATTCTTATTGTCATGTGGGGACACAGTGCAAGAAGCCCCCTTAAATATCAGACCTCAAGGTCAGGGAGAGGAGAAAGACTGCCTTTGTGTTTCCTCCAGTCCTGAAACATGGCAGTGTGCTAAGTGGCCACACTGATGGAAGACAAGAAACAAAAATATAAAACAGCAGACATTGTGGCCAGGAAAAGCAGACAGAACATTCAATAGAACAAATAACAAATGTATCTAAATGAAAAGGAAAAAAAGTTCTTTTCACTTGCTATAAATAAATAGAATAAAGTAGCCAGGAAAAGAAAAGTGTACACACAGTGGAAGACACTCTATAATGTGTAACATTATTCATGTATTTTCATCAGTGATACACTTCTCTTTGACTCCGTATGTCAGACAATTGTTACCCAATTAAAAATAAGAGAGTATATAAAAAGAAAGGTGAAAACAAATATTAGTAGAATGATCACACTGCTTTGGTGGAAGTAGAAGGGCCCCAACGATTGCTTTAAATCACCGTCTCAGACCTTATGAGAGATTAAGCCTTGAAGCTCCCATTTCCTTTTCTACCTCATAAACTGATTTGAGGAATAATGAACTACTGTTTGTGAAGCACTTATATCTTTAAATAATGACTGTAATAAGAAGGCAGATGAGGGTCGAAGGAGGAAATATTCTTTTCAGAGCGGAACAGGTTTTATCCAGTGACATCATCTCTGAGACTTTGGCTGCTTAGGCTGGGATGCTATTCTGATACCTGGACCTCATCTCTTGAGAAGCAGCGAAGAGTTGTCCACCGTAACTGTCAGACACTGTGTACTTGATCTCTCTATCAGATCAAAGCCACCACTCAGGTCTCTTTTGGGAGACAAAGTCAAGGGTCATTTGTGCAGCCTCACACCAAAAATTGAAAATTAGGTAACTCTATCACTCCACCTGGAAGAAGAAAATGCATGGGATTTAATTTGTAGCCATGAGATAGGATGTTGAAGAAATAAAACCTATCTGGCTCCTTGGTTATCAGAAAGAAAAAACAGATAAAGTGCAACTCACTAATACAGGAGTGTCAGAGGTCTCAAAACCGCCAGGGTGTTTATATTTTCTTCCATGCTCTTAACGTTAAATTAGAAAAGATACTAAAGAGCATTGGAACTGATAGAGTATAGAAAGTGATATCAACAAAACTGCTCAGAAATAGAAGGAAGTCTTAGCTTTAAACGTCAAGTCCAAATTGATCTGTAGACAGAGAAAGACTCCCTCCTGGAAAAAAAAAATTGCAGCCCAATGCTCATCAATAGAAACAAAAGATGAGCCTGGCAAACTCATCACAGTGCCAGTGAGGCTGATAAACCACAGGCCAGAGACAAAGCTCTCTGTTAAAAGCGCAGTCTGAGGCTCTCTACTCAACCTGCCAACTGCAGCTAACATGAACATCTCTTAACAAGAAATGTGCAGGGGGTGGAAAAATGAAGGAGTGATTCACTGAAAGAGACAGAAAGCTCCAGATCATTAAAGGCATTTCCTGAAACACCTGGAGTTGGTTATATGCCAAAGCCCAATGATGCAGCAAAAAAAATCTGCAATCAACTGCTCAGAAGAGATCAACATTCAGCAGACCTAAAACTTAGCTAACTATTTATTTAAAATCCTACACATCTGGGGCAGGGCAAGAGTGACTGGGCTGAGGCAAATGTCATTCATGAGAGAGATAATGAGTGCTGAATAGATCAACCATCTCTTCCTGCCACACTCAAAACGCCCTTGCGGATGAAGCCTTGTTCTGAGGATTTGGCATTTTGCATTGAATCTAGATGTGTTGGCTTAACACGCTTAGCTCTGACTGAGTCCAAGTCTGCTGGTCTGGACAAATTTACTCCAAGCTCTTGAGAGAATCTGGGCCAGAAATCATATACGCCCGAAGATCCAACACAGCATAGTGCCGCTTGAGGAGAAAAACGTTTGTGAGAACCGTGGAGATGCTTCACTAATACCTCTCATCACGAGAACTTTCTGTGGAAGACTCACAGCCCCCAGCTGCTGCTTCCGAGTGCTCTCAGGTGCCCATGCTGAGGCCCCGCTTCCCCCTGCTGCCTCCCATCAATGACTGAGGACGGCGGGGCAGCTTGGGCTGAGTCTACATGTGCCAGACGTGGGGCTCCTCGCACAAGCCACCCTGGCTTGGGGACTTTCTATCAGCTTGGTGAGCCCATCCCAGAACCACACAGTGGTCTGAGGCTCCTTTTTCTCAGTCCTTCCATTCCCCTCTGCTGTCACAGGAGCCACCACCCCTGCAGGACAGTCTAAGTCTAAAGACTCCTTTCTCCTACTCCTATCCCCTCCCTCTTTATCCTTCAGGGCACTTCCTCAGTAAATTGCCTGTGTGTCTAACCCTGCCTGGTCTGCATAGATTCCACTCATGGTAGAGACGAGAGTGATTTATCAAGATGTTTGTTTAGCATTAGAAAAGCACAGCATGGATTTCGTACAAGTCGTGTGAGATTTAAATGATTTTCTTTCTCAGTAGGGTTACTAGAGTGACACATGGTGGGAAGTACAGAAGACATTTGTATTTTCACAAGGCATCTGGCGATGGCTCACTTATGACTACATTTGGTCTATGAACGCCGTGCTGTGACTGACCTTGACTGCACTCGTCCAGGACACGTCAGAGGGAAGGCCAGAGGGAAGCCTGTAAAGGGGGAGAGGTGCACTCAGGGAAGATGGAGAAGACCAGGCAAAGACCCAGCAGGCTAACAGCTGCCACGCACTGGGATACTTCCAGAACATTTACAGTGCATTTATACACATTTACAGTGTATAAAACAAAATGCATACTATGTATACAAACACATAAAACCCAAATGTCATCCTTTTGATGAGCCCATGAAAGAGATGATTTCCTCTTGTTAAGGATGAAGAGCACAGGAAGCTGGTTTAACTTGACAAAGAATGCACCATTGGTTAAGAAACAGGAATTAAACCTGGACTGTCACCCTCA